ATTATATCAAAATTGTAAAAAAAAAAATAAAATACATAAAAACTTTGCGTTTAAGATGAAAAATATGTTTTTCTCTGTCATTATGCTCTATAAATAACTCCTCAAGTGGAAAAGTTGTACTTTCGCCTGGTTTCATTTAGTAAAAAATCTTTTTTAAGGGACCTTTGGCAATTCGATTAGTCGAAAAAGATAATCAACAGATTAAAGGATTTGCAAAATAAACGTTACTTGCAGCATTCGTCTGCACCATGTTGATTAAAAAAAAAGAAAAAAAAGAACGGATGGTAGAATATAGCACTAAGTCTGTAATAAATCTTAATAGTTTGAGCCTCAGCTTTTGAATAAAAGCATATATGTTTCATGATATCGGAAAACTGTCCCCATATTGGTTATCCATTTTAACACAGTATTATTATATATTGGCCCACAAATGCTCCACTCAAGGAGACCTGAATATGCAGCAGTTACAGCACCGATGTGTTCTCTTACATGATAACTATAAATTCTTACTGTCATGGCCGTCTTAGCCAATTTAGAAAATAGAGCTTATTAGTCGTCTCCCAGCTGCTCTCCGTACACCTTCACTGTGCTGAAATACGCACTTACAGTTAGCTGAATTCATCATATATTTAATCATAGCTTAATTTGAGCCAAGAGCATAGGCTCTGTTCAGATGGGCAAGGTGGTAACCCTCTGAACATCTCTAAGCTGCAGGGCACGAGACAGATAAATGATCAGTGGTCTGTGCCTGAAAGGCAAGCAATGATGCAGTCTTTACCAGCTGTTCCTCTGCACCTGCCCATTGTTTGCTTCCGTTATTAAAAGCCAGGATAAATCTCTTTGCTTTGGGATGGGTATCATCGTCTTTAACAACTTGTTTTTAGGCGTTTCCACGAAGTTTAACTCATGACTCTTTTATCTCTAGCCTCTGTTTATTTAAAATGCATGGTTTACTAAATAAGTGTTAAGAGTTTAAAGCTATTGTTGTTTTTACAGTGAGCATAAAACCCTGAATGTCAAAAGATCGCTGCTGAAGGGAGAAAAGGATCTATGATTGCGCATCTGTAAGCTCAAAACAATAGGAGAGAAAGTCTGCTTATTCCCAGTGGTACACTCCATTGCTTGCTTAAAATATGATCCATTAAGTATAGACATTCAACAAAAATACCAATGAAAAGCCGAGAATTCAACAATTCTTGTTTTTTTTTTTTTATGGGAGCATGGCCTCATTAGAAGAAGCCGGTGCTGATTTGTTATGTCTATGTGTTTACCCTTATCTCAAACAAATGATGGAACGACAGCATTCACATATATTAGTCAGCTCGCAGAAACATCATATCCAGAGTTGAACAAAAAAACAAAACAAAACAAAAAAGAACTTTGGCACAAAATGTTTTCCTCCATGTTCAATCTTTCATCCTCAAAATATATCTAAATATAATTTTGATCATTGTCACTTTTTCTTAAATTCCTATTCCTTTTGGTAAGCCTCGTCTCGCTGGTGCTGCTTATCCGGCAACAATATACTTTCCCACTGATGGCGTGATGCTGTTTGCTCTCTCTTCCTCATGATCTCACGCCGTCAAACACATATTACACAACTTATCTTGTCTTCAGTCCAGCTTCACTTTTCATTCTATTGTGTCTTTTTATTCTTAATCTTGTTAAATAGTTTTCTTCTTTTTTCTTTTTTTCATGCGATTACATTGACACTCACAAATACACTCACTCAGCCGCTCTCCGAAATAGTTATTTCATAAAATTACAGTAGCTATAATTAAACCCTCAATGGAGAACATCAAACCACACAGCCAGCTGTTGTTTAAACTAGACAATAGGAACCTGCGTCCCTCCTTCATAACCCCCCCCCCCCCAGCACACGTACACAATCACTGGAGTGGCCAGGTCTTGGGCCCAATGCAATATTTTTCAATTTTCTCTAATTGTGTGAGAGTGGTAATCCAAGGCAGGCTATTGTATATTCCACCCCCTCTGCTGCCTGGCCTATATGGACACTAACTCCACAATTAACTTACCAGACCTGGGACTCAAATCAAATCAATGCCAGCATCTATTACCACCGCCTAGCAACACTTTCCTGCATGCAGGTTGCATAAATGTGTGTTAAATTAGATCGGCTATATGTTGAAAGTGCCAAAAAATGTAATTGTAGATATTTTGAAGTCTGAGTATGTTCTCTGAAGTGGCTCCTTTTTCTATATTTTCTTTTATTTATGTAGTTTTCCTCCTGGTTTCTTTCAGTTTTGCCCCATTCATTTTCCGGTCGTAACGATCCTTGTTTTTTCTTGTCACAGATGAGCAGCATGAAACGGCTGCGGCCTCGCCTTAGCCACATCCTTTTCCGACTCCAGTTCGAGGAGCAAGTTAACAACCTGCGTCCAGATATCCTGGCAGTAAATGCAGCGTGTGAAGAGGTCAGAAAGAGCCGTGCTTTTGGCCGCCTGCTGGAGCTGGTGCTGCTGCTGGGAAATTACATGAACGCAGGCTCTCGTAATGCCCAGTCATATGGCTTTGACCTCAGCTCCCTTTGCAAGGTAAATACTGACCTCCACATAGAGTTTTTACACACACCCTGCAGTCATTTCTAACCCCACTGGCACTGGTACAACATGAGTGACGCGTGTTCAATAAAGCTCTTGATCCTGAATATTGATTTTATAAAGCTGTGTTTGCAGATTGACACTGGAGATGGAAATAACAAAAGATTGACTGATGTTAAATGAAGTACCTGAAAATGGTCTACCTGCTCCCACTCACCACTGCTTTCCTTTTTTTTTTATTCTGTGATATATTTCATGAAATTAATGTTTTGTTTTGTAGACATACAAGATATTAGTTATAATTAGGAATTAAATGAAAAATAAGAAGGTTATTTCTTTGAAATTTTTATTCAGAAAGTAAAAACATAAGATGAAGCTAGTAAAATATTGACAAATAGATGGAACAGAGTAATTCTTTATTGTCCCAAATTGGGCAATTCTATTATATCAGTGATTCCCAACCAGGGGAGCAAGTACCCCTAGTGGTCCGTCAGTGCATTGCAAGGGGTAAATATTTTATTAGGTAGTAAAATAAAATAGGGCTGGGATCTGTATTTTTTTTTTTTTTTTTTTGTGAGGACCAAATTAAAAAATGAAATAAGCTTTTATCAATAAAGTTTTTGTCATAGTTTTGATTTTTTTTACACTGAGGGAGGGGCGCCGCACAATGGCAGCCCACTGCTCCCCAAGGGATGGGTTAAATGCAGAGAAGTAATTTGTCTCTGGGATTATTAGAGTATATTTAATAAAATAAAATAAATAATAAATAAATAAAATGAGCTATCAGAGCTCATCAAAGCAGCTCAGGGTTCTTGATGAAAACAAAGTAAAACTAATTAATTCAGTTTAACTATAGTTTTTGTTCCGTATTTTGTTTTCAATTCACCAAGTTTAAATATGATTATAAGGGAGGTACTCCAGTTGTATAAATATTTGTTTATAAAATGATTTTATTTTGTATCTAAACATACATATGTTGTTTTTATTTGAGATTTCAAGCATAAAATGCCTAAGAAATAAAAGCTCAAATTAATATAATATTTATCGTACAGTATGTTACACTTTGGGACAATAATCAATACTGAGAGGGGAGCTCATGGTCAGACAAAATGCCCAAAGGTATATAAGCAGACATAAGGGAGAAAGTTTAAAATGGTAGAAAAAAAAACTGCACGGTTATTAAAAATGGCAGAAAACTGTTATTGTCTCCATCCCCATGTTTATTGGTTTGGAGAAGCTCTCAAAATGTCAGCAGCTACTTAACACATTTAGATACGCAAATATTTTCCAGTTCTTCTTTTCAAATGTTTATAACTTGTTTCTAAATTATTGCTAAACTTTTGCATTTGGAATTTTTTGGCCACTCTTACAGAAATATGCTTTAATGGAAACCATTCTGTCGTAGGTCTAGCTGCATGTTCAGGGGCTCCAGCTGGAAGATAAACTGCAGCATCAGTCTACAATCAGTTATAGCTTTCTTTCACTGCTGGCCCTTATTTAACTCCATCCCCTTCTTATAGTGTTCTATATTTAAGCCAGATAAATTCAGTTCTGCCCTCATCTTATTCAAGGGAAACTGATTTCTTTAAAAAATACAATAATCCTGCATAACTTTACTGTTTTTCTTAACAAACCTTATATAGTGATGTGTAAACATACAAGACAAGGTTTACATATCGGTTTGCTTTTATCAAAGAATTCAAAAAGAGGCCATGTTTAGTTTCTGGCTCCCTTTTCAGAATAGATAACTGGGTCTGTGGCCACAATCACTTTGAAAGCACACACACCATTCAGGTCTAACCAAACGCTTCACGGATGAACACATGGCCTATGGGTGTAACTCTGTGATGAAGACTGAGCACCCGGTTTCCTTGTGTGATAGTGAGGGCAAAAACACGGTGTAATCTTTGGATGAGAAACTCCTGCAGTGGTTACATTAAAGCTGTTGGCACATGCGCTGCAGTTTCCACAGTAACAGCCACTGCAGCCATTTGTCACTGCCACCTCTTTGCCCTGTTAGACTTGGATGCTTATGCTCATATAAACACCAGCGCATTTGCCAAATGTGGATTCCTGCATATTTGATGGACTAGAAACATTAGCAGAACAATAACATAATCAATCAGCAGAGGTTTGTTTGTGGATTATGGGTTCCAAACAAGTTTAATGCTACTGTTCCAGGGTGTCGATTCCCCCCCACACTCCCTGACTTGTTGTCTGACCATATTGAGTCAATGTTTCAGACACAATATGTAGAGGAAGGCATCACCTTCGTGCCTCCCCCAGAGTTTGACAACTTAATACTGTGACACACTTCACAGCGCAGGGAAATTGCACTCAGCACCGCTGGAAAAAAGAAAAAATGTTTACATTGTCATCTATGATTACCATCCGTCTAAATTCAGAGAGGGACCTTTTTGTGAGTGAGCCGTTAAAGCTTTTAGGAACGGAGGGGGAAAAAAAGGAGAAGCAAGAAATGAAAAGAGAGATGAGAATGTTTGATTAGAGGAGATAATGCAAACATGATTAAACCCAGCGGGTCTGAGTACACTGCCGTCTACCAATAGATCACCTAGAGAGATACACAGCAACAGACTCCACAGGAGGGATGCACAGCGGGGACACCGAGAGGCATCTTAGAATTAGACTGTAAAAGAGCAATGACGGAAATTTATCAGAGAAATTGAAAAATTGTTGCGTGCGGGTGAGAGAGCCTCAGCAAGTGCAAAGGGGGGGGTCCCCATTGTGAAATTGCATCTGCTGCATGAGCATGAGACATTAAATCATCTGTTGCTCTGTCAACACTTGGCATTTATGACGCAGGCGTTCAGACACGAGTTTCTTTGTCTCATACTACCCAACAGATACTGCCATCTTATGTCATCGGCGAAATTGCAGTGACACATGTAAAGTCTGACAATTTTAGTCTGCTGCGGCAGACGCGTCCGCCGTGACAAGCTCACATTGTGATTTTCTCTTCTTTTTTCCTTCTGAGGAGAAGGAAAACAGAAACCAAAAAGGAGGCAATTTATACACATACATAGCAGTGACACATCAAAGGAAAACCTTGAATGCCAGACCCATACGGTTTGCAGAATTCATTTCTCTATTATCCTCCGTTTTCATACATATCTTTTCTTTTTTTTTCTGTGACAACCTGCTTTTGGTCCACTTATTCCCTTGGAGGAACGGGTCACTGCAAATCAATATAAAATCCCTCTGAGTGATTGCTCCTTTGATGAAACTTTTCTATCTTGAGCAAACTGGTTTCTTCCAATAGACGGTGCCCCCATTGAAGGGTCACGAGGGGTCCCACAAACATCTGACGACTATGAAAATGATGTGAATCATATAGCTTTTTGCAGTCAATGCCTGTCAGCCCATTTGATCATCTGAGGGATGTTTTTATTTGCCGAGTTACACTGCGTCCTTCTCCCCTTGCATCAAAGCATAGAATGAGTTTTTATAAACATCTGTTTTCTTTAATAAAGTAGCTATTCAAAAAATTGAATTAAAATGTCATGTTTCCTTATGTAAAAGACAGACTTTCATAAATGATTTCCCTTTTTTCTCTTTACAATGCCATATAGTCTGTGTGGCTTTAGTAAAATCCCATAAATGAAAAAAAAAGTTGAAAATAAAAGGTTGCTATCACCTGCTTGCAAAAATGTACACATCTTTGAACTATTAGTTTGATGAAGCACCTTCATTTAATTACTTAAAAAAGCCAGTTTAATTGTAAAAATATTTTAGCAGTTCTTGTGGGAAATTTGATAAGCAATATATTGCCAACAAGATAAAAAATGCTCTTACTGTGCAAAGGTATCAGTTGCAAAAGAAAATAAATCTCAGCAAAATTCTTTATAACAAAAGAATATATGGATGAATAGGGAAATGGAACAGGAGCTGAACATTTCTCCAAGATTAACATAAAGAAGAAGAAAAAAAAAACAAAAACATAAACAAGTCAGAGAGGATACCAGGAGGCCAACAGGAACACTGAACACTCTGCAGACATTTTCAACAAGTACTGCTTGTAGTCTGCATCTGCCAACAACCTGTTATATTCTCCATATGGCTGGCCTTAGGAGAAAGGTTGAAAGTCAGAATTGTTCTCTTTAGGATGACTTTTCACATCAGAACCCTTTAGAAAAAAAACATTTTGGCCTGATTCATGGGTTTTATTTGCAAATAGTATGCTTAGCACTAGGCCTGCGCAAAAAATTGATTCAATGAACTAATTAGAATTTTTGGTGATTGTTGCGATAAATTAAACCTCTTTTTTCCTTATATAACAACATTTATAACATTTTTGGCTGTCTGGAGTTTCAGTAGCTGCAGTATTGCTCTCAGGTTGCAGTTTGGGAAGCGACAGCATCACACGAAACAGCAAATGACATCATAATTACAGATGAGTGAAGAGTTTGGTCACAAAAAAGGAATAAAGTCATCTCTGTTTGGAACTGCATAGATTTAAGTTCTCCGGTGTAGTGGAGGATTTCTGGCATGCGGCAACTGTGGTTGGGAAGATAAACTTTTCAACGTGAGTTTCATGCAACACCAGCGATATCTGACAGCTATGAGGACATGCTTATCAGAACGCTTACTACCCAAACACAAGTATAGTAGGTGGAAAGGAGCGGGGGTCAGTTGCTGCCAAAATAGCAGAAACGGCAGTGAATAGCGGCATGTAAACATTAGCAACAGGCAAGGTTCCCGCGAGGGAGGGGGGGGAGAAAAAAGAAATTTAGTTCTGTATTGAAACGCATATTTTAAAACGGTCAGAAAAGGTTCCCGGTCCAGATAGCTAACAAGTTAGCTGTTAACAGAACGTGGGGTGGGTCCGAAAAAAAAAAAACGGAATTTGAATCAGAAATAAAACAATCAGAAATACGATGGTAGGATTGTTTGGGGTTTCATTTTTTGTAACAAAAGAAAAGTAACATCAGTCAGATGAAAAAAAACAAAATCACTTTCTGTATGAAAAAGCGAAGCACATAATTTATTATTTTTTTTTTTTTCAGAATTTCTCCATTGAGGGACAATAAAGGGATTTTCTATTCTATTCTATTTTCTATTCTAAACTACTAGTGCTGAAGACTTCTGGTAACGATTCTTAGTCTTCCAGGTCAAAGGCATTCAGAAAAAGTTTTCTTTTAAAAACAATCCACTGGAGTACTGAAGACATTTTCATGCCCAAGATTCACACGTTATTAACTTTATTTAACAAGCTCGTCATTTAATGATTTTTAGCTGAAACTTGTTTTTACATTAATAGAGATTTTTAACTGACACTTGTGTTACGTAAATTTTTTAATATGTTTTGAATCGTGTAAATAAAGTGTTAAAAGTCAAAGTCACATCACTAACTGCATCTTTACTGTTTGACACATTGATAAGAAAAAAACCCAACACGTGTGTTATTCGGAAATGGTGCACAACTAGCAGGTGTTCAGAAAGTCTCTTTAAATTTTGCATCCTATAAATGGAAGTAATGCACATGTCTCAGTTTTGGGGTTTATTTTGTTGTTGCTTCTCTTCTTTGCTGTTGCAAATGGAAACCAGAATTAAACTGTGATAGGAAAATGAGTATAATCTGTGACGGTTGTTACAGTGTAGCTGGCCAATATTTTGGTTTATTTGGCCTCTAGAATAGAATAGTGTAGAAATATCCTTTGTTGTCTCTCAGTGGGGAAATTCAGGTTTATCAGCAGAAAAGCGATAGACAAATGGAAGTATCCAGAATCACACAGGGATAAAAGAAATTGAAAATAAAGAAAATCAACGCTGTACAGAAATGGCATGTTTAACTCATAACAATGAAATCAAGTTATTCATAATTAAGCAGGAATCTTTCATAGATTGCAAACGACATTTAAATAACAATTGATATTAGGGCTGAAACAATTAATTGGATTAATCGATTATTGAAATAATTGCCAACTAATTTAGTAATCGATTAATCCTAAACTGGAGTGTAAACATGCTTTTGGCTGAAAGAGCAACCCACTAAGAACAGTAATTCTACCAAATTTGCAAAAGGAGATAAATATTTTGAATTTAAGATTTAAGTTTTCGTTTCTCCTGGTTTGATTCTGTAAAAAAGAAAAAAAAAAAAATCTCCTTTAAGGAACCTTTTGCTACCCGATTATTAATCGAAACCATAATCTACAGATTAATCAATTTGCAAGATCATCGTTAGTTGCAGCCTGAATTGATAAGTTAAACTACTCAATGGGCATTTGAAATTTAATTTAAAAAATGTATTATATTCAATAAAATTCATATCATTAATTGGCAACTTTTGTCAGCAATTATCCGTTTAACATGACATCGTTTTCTTTATATTATTTTTTTTCAGTTTGTTTTTAAATAACCATTTCATCCCCAGAATGAAATGTTGATTATCCCGCACAGTGTATGCTCAGCTTTTAAAGGTTCGGTTTCATCAGGGCTGCAGTCAGATGAAATGAGCCGCCTGACTCACTGTGATTTTCTATGTGTTTTCTCACAGTTAAAAGACACAAAGTCTGCAGACCAGAAGACCACATTGCTTCACTTCTTGGCAGAAGTGTGTGAGGAGCAGTTTCCTGATGTCCTCAAGTTTGTTGACGAATTGGAGCATGTGGATCGAGCAAGCAGAGGTACAGAATATCTATATGGACATACTATGAAACACTAAATGTGGACGGTAAATACTTTCTGTCCTATATATACATTTCTATTGATTTATTGATTTTAAAGTGTGGGTTGTTGAAACCTATCTGCAGAGTATGACAGCACAGAGGGACTGATTGTTGGTACCAAGTGTTCATTGATATAATGAGAGAAGGGGGAAAAGCAACACTTGTTTACTTTCAGTTTGTAGGTCAGGAAGCCCCTTTAGATTTGATTTTAAATGGGTAGAAAAACCTTTAGTGTTACTTTTTTCAACTAGTTTCTGCTTCAGCTGATGTCATTAAATCTTAGAAGTGAGTGTTAATTTATAAATTTCCCATGAAAACCCACTAGCAACATATTCCATTGTGAGCATTAATTATCACAGCCTGGCATAAACAATAGTGACAACAGAATGCAGTAAAAGCAGGGCAAGATAATGGGAGCACAGCACGTAATGGGAAAGGTGGGTTCACATGCAAAATCAGGTGCTGGTGCTACTGTATGTACCTCAACACTTTTTAAAATATTTCCTTATCTGAAGTATGTATACACAGTTAGATTTATGTGATTATTTAAGCTAGTATACAGTAGATGGGTTGCTGTTATTAAAAGATGCTCCAAGTTATTTTCCATCTATATGTTAGAATACTTGGGGTATTTCTTATGTTTATATAGTTTAATGTAAAATAGAATAGGCTACCTATTCCAAAAAAGTTACAAAATATTCCACTGGACTTTGTTTCCAAGTTTGAAGATGTTTCGCTTCCTATCCGCGAAGGTTTTTCAATTCAAAATGTCAGAAATAGCGTTGAGTTTGAGGCTTTATGGAGTGGACCAAAAAATCTAAATGTTTTGACTTAGAAAACATGCAAATTAAACAGGGAGAATGGGTCCGCCCCTTTGGAAGGGGGGTCGTTTGACTTCTTTGTTAGCCTGCAATACCCAATACTTGTCTATGTCTCTGAAAACTGGGTTGCTAAATTGATGGTCTGGATGGCAAGGTGTTCTAATTCACTGTATGGGGGTTGGGTTGCAATGGTAGCGAGGAGAGATCAATTCTATCGCTGTATCATAGGTTTTTGAAAGCTAAAATCTGAGTCCACCCCCTCTGTTTAAAGTCGTAGGCAAATGGCCGTTCCAACCGTTGACATTCATAAGTGAATAAAGTAAATATGATTGGTTTATATGGACGTTTATCAAGGGGGCGGGATTGTTGTGTCGGAAGCCTTTTGCTAACCAGTTAGCAACATAGTACTAGTAGGTTCCCATTGGGAAATTCCATTGGGACCAAGTAGCACTAAATCGGTGACTTAGAAACGACACTGTCAAGGAACGCTATGGACAGCGGAGAGTTTTGTGTGGGAGGTCACGGATGAGTATCCTCCGTCATAAATGTTTTATTTAGAGGAGGAATGCGGGGACAAAGATGTTGTGGAAGAGGACGCCAGGGCGGCAGAAGCTTGGTTTGGTGTAGAAGGCTTGCAGCCGTACATGTTTGAGCCCTTGCCTCGCAACGCTGCCAGTTCTGTTAGCCCTACGCCTGCTGAAGACACAGACGTCCATACCCGTGAACACTGGGATGTAACTCAATGGGAAAGTAAACAATTCTTATTTCAACCGTTGCGTATATTAGCTGCGACATATGAATCAAGATGCTATGACCGAATAAATGTGATTGACAGATGACCGTTGAGATATGATAAGCCGAATTTAGGTGCACAAGCTGACGTATAACTAACTGGCCTGCATAAGATAAGGGAAAAAACAGTTTTTAAGACAGAATTTTCTTTAAAAATAGAACTTTTCTAACTTTTTCTAACTTTTAACTGATAAAGAGTACTTTTATATTAGGGATGGGACGATTTATGAAAACCGTCCGAACCGTTCGGTTCGACTGTCTCTGTTCGATTCGAGTGTGTTTCGTTCGGTTCATGCGCTACTCCTTTTTCTCACAGGCGAAGCGTTTACACTCCAGAGCAGAAGGTGGCGGTACTGCGACCAAAGCCAACCACCAGTAGTAAACAAGAAGAAGAAGAAGCGAAGCAGCTTAGCCGGGTGTAGCAGGGAAAAAAATCAGTTGTTGTGGAGAATTGTGTCGGAATGGCGAGTGGGAAAGAAGAGGAGTTGGAAGACGCGCCAGCAGCACTTTATAGGTCTGCTGTATGGGACCACTTTGCATTTAGAGTGACCTACGATGACGGTGGAAAGAAAGTCGTGGATAAAAGTGCAACAGTGTGCAAGCATTGTGCAACACGTTTTGTTTATGCTAACAGCAACATGTCATGCTAACCCCGGAATCCCTCATACTCCGTCAGCAACCCCCGCTGCGCTCCAGACCGGCTGCTCAAAGCAAAGCCTATAGCCCCCACTGTGGCTCCTGTCCACTCCGCTCTGAGTCCCTTGGAGATGGTAGAGAGCATGCGCGGGATGATTAAATTCAAAGCAGCAAAACATACGGAAATGATCCAGGGTTTCCGCGGATCATTTAAAATAATTACAATTATTAATTATTAATTATTACAATAATTAATTTCATAAATTTTTATGGGATTTCGGTGTAACAATCAACATGTATCGAATCGAACCGAACCGAAAACCGTGACCACGAAACCGTGAATCGAACCAAACCGTGGATTTTGTGAACCGTTCCACTCCTATTTTATATACATTTTTAAGCCAGAATGATTTGACATCTAAATATGGTTTCCCTATGACTTTAAGGTTGTTTTTTCTTTCTTAACATAGATGGCTTCCTTCACACCCCTCTCAAACCACCTGTCTTCTTTGTCCAAAATGTGAATATTCTGGTCCTCAAAAGAATGTCCTTTGTCCATAAGGTGTTCACATTTTGGACAAAGAGGACAGCTTGAAAAAGCTTCCTGGATGGGAACTTGGACATTTCTTTTTTGGTATGATTATGACCTGGATGACTGAGGATCTTCACCAGCAATAGGCTACCTACTCTGAAATGAAGCTTTTTTGTTTTGCATTTGTTTTTGCTTTTTTCTATGTAAGCTTTATCCTTCAGCAAAAGTCTCTTGGGTTTATTTTGAAATTAGAGAGCTTGTAGATTCTATAAACAATATATTTAATTATTTTACTGTTTGATCCAAACTACGCTCTGTTCATCTGCTCCGCTGTTTGATCCCAGCATTAATCTTCAGCTGTCGCACATTTACAAGTTAGAGGTTTATTTCTTTTTTTTCCTCTAGTAAATACATCAGGTTATGTCAGCCATCGAGATGTAGAGCAGTTTTCTCTTTGAACACGTTCAGATTTGCTATGTTGGTTTGAATGCAATTTGGCTTTTTTTCCCTCTTCTTTTTTTTCACACAAATATGGCTCCACTCAAAGTGCTTTTAGTCTGGCCCGACTCTCTTGAGTACGGTAAAGGTCAGAGACAAGCAGAGCCGGCTGGGTGGTCAAAGGAGACTCGGTCTTGTTCTTTGTCCGTTGTTGCTGTAGGCGGCTCTCGGGCGGCGGCGTGCAGAAGTCTGTTGGCGGTTTGTGTTTGTTTGCGTGTGATTTTTGTTCCGTCACAGCATGTTTCCTCCCTGCTCTAAAGAAAATTTTTATCCACCGCTCTGCTGCTAGTGGCGCGGGGAGAGAGGGAAAGTGTGAGGAGGAGAAAACATAGGGAGATAATTTGTTGGGCTTCATTGTTTGGACTCCCTTCATAAAAACTCCCTTAGATTTCCTTTTGAATTTGTTCTTTTTCCAAAACAGTGGATGATGACACCCCTGTTGTGGGTCTATTTCTCCCAACTAGCCTGCATGTCCACAAGGCCAAGATTAATAAGTACAAGGTTAAGATCAATGGGAAGCACAGTTCTTAGATCTTTCTTCAGACTGTCTGATGTCTGCTTTACAGACATCAAGCTGAGTATATTTACATGTGTATAGAAGGAGAGCCCTTTCTCTGTCACAGTCTTTCCCTCTTTCTGTACCAATATGACATGCTCACATTAAGTGTCTTATTACGCCACATCTCGCATTCAGGCACACAAATCCCATTTCTTTTCAAAGGGGGCTGTTGAGTGGCTTCTTTTTCATTAATTCTGACAGCCATTTGAGAGGACTGTAGACTTACTAAAAGGCTGCATTACATTCATAGACACCAACCAAAGAGCTTTAGCTGGGCATGAAAACAAGGTTGGGTAGAGGTAGCAGTAATGATTTGTGTTTCAGCTCTGAAGGGTGCTGCTTTTTTGACTACATGGAACGTAGCTCCTCTCCCCCCCACACACACAAACACACTTCTCACAGAGGCAAAACTGTACTTTAGTTGGGTGTCGCTTCGTGCCTGTCTTCTTATTTCTGCTCTCCCTCTCTTCTTCTCAGCCCTGGAATCATTATTTCTCCTGACAGTGAGAAAGAGTCTTTTTTGATGCTTCTGTCATTTCACATGGATCCTTCCTTATCTGTCTGTCAACACCTCAGCGTCTGTCTGTCTGTCCTTGCCCTCCCTTCTCCATTCTCTGTTGTTTTTGGCTTCAGTTTTGCTCACCTTCCGTCGTTTTGTTCTTCTTTCTTTTTCATTCTTTCCCTTATCACAAAAGGCGCACGGATGCGATGAACAGCAGCAGCTTGGGACAGTTAGGATGGTTTGAGCTGAGTGGTACTCTGCTGAAGCGGATTGGAGGCAGGCGACTGTTGAGAGAAACTAATAGACTAGACTAGGTTAATTCATCCTAAAACCTACCTGTTTGACGCAAAAAATATGTTTGTTTAAAAAAATGTTTTTTTTGGGGGGAATTCTGAAAAGGTACGCCGGCATAAAAGTTTTTACACATCAAAGACGTGGAAGTTTTTCTGTTTCTGGCGGCTTGTTGCATTAAAGAGTCATTAAGGACTTATGTGAGGACTCGACGACTTTGAGATGGCTGTTTAATATGCTGTTCAAGCTCTGCTTTGTAGTTCTACCTCATGCAGTCTGAGTGATGAGCCTGAGGTTTAAAGTATATAGAAAGGGCTTTCTGCGCTACATTTCAGAGACTGCTTTGCTCTTTTGGATTGCAGTATCTTAGGAGCTCAACATGTCGAGTGTTTGCCAGGATTTCCTATGTAGGTATCCCATCCATAGCCTCTGGCTCCATCAGTCTAGTCCCACTTGTGTGACAAGCTTTGGCCTCTCAGGGCAGATCTGAATTTCTTCACTCTCTTAATTTCCATATATCAAAATATGATCTATGGTGGATCTGTCTGTAGTACGGCTTTCCGTGCATATGCGTGGTTGTGTGCTCCTCTCTCTGTCTCATTTATTGCACAGCAGGTTGACAGAGTAATAAAAGGATGTCAATGGGGGATTTGACCTCTACAAATACTGCAATTATTATTCCTCTAAAACACCCTATATCTGTCTGCAGCCTCTCTGGACTCCAGAGGCATTCAGGTCCCAGTGCCCATAAAAATCACTCACGCCTTAATGCTCAGAATGAGAAAGCAACAACAGCTTGGCCAGAAAGAGCTTGAAACACACACAAAGATCACTTCTGCTTTTGTACTAATATCAAGTTCGTCACCTATAAGCTAAGCTTTTGCTTAGATCCTCAGGTCTATATTTCAAACATACGTTTTGACTAAACATGGATATTGTTTGCTTTGAAGGCCTTTTATTTGTGTTTAGCAGAACATACTAGTTGCCACAGTCAGTCTCCAAAGAGATTTTTCTCTTGAAGCACACGGTGCTGTATTTGTCACCTTTCTGTCAGCCATTGTTCACATATCCTTCCATGTGAGTGAGCCACATCACAAATGGCTGCAGATTAGCCTGTGAAGCAGAGAAAAGAGGAGATCCCTGTCTGTTTTGTTCTCTGTCTCGCCCTCCCTTGCTCTTCTCTCAGCCACAGCGTCATCTCACCGGGCTTTAATCATTTCTATTAACAGAGTAGCTGTCTACCACCTCTTCCACTTTTTATTCTGCCCACACTTTATTCAGTCAAATTTGGTTGCCAGGTAATGCAGAGAAAAGAAAAGAGAAGAGGGTGAAAAGCAGGTGAAGTAGGCTGTTTACCCAAGTTTACCTAAACTTGGGCTGTTTAATGTGATGGAAAAATATCATCATTTTATTCAATCTCATGCAAATAAACAGTACATTAAAGAAGTATTGATATCCCTGAAAAATTGCTTTTGGAATTGAACATTTTTAGCATCTTAATGTAATTATTAGATTAAGGTTGTTAATACAGAAGTACTTTTCTGAATAGAAAAAGTTTTTAGTATTCAGTTTAAAATGTATAATTATAATTCAAAAACTCATCGATGGACATACCACCAAGACCAAGCTAAGTTGGTGACATTCTAAAAATGATTAATCCTCTAATTGTTTTAGCCAGGTTTTCTGTCTGTTGGTGTCTTCTTGTCTCCAGACGCAGTGTGGTTAATGATGCTATGACATCCTATTAATGATCTTTACTTAACCAAAGCATCTCCTGAAATCAATCTTCTCTTTTATAGCAGGAAAATGATCGTAAAAGCACAGCAGAGTTGTTGCAGGAGAGAGTATCGTGGGTGCACTGTAGCTTTAAACCTATAAAGGACCTATTCTCTGCACTGTAAATGGAATATATCTGGAGTATTTTTGACCTGCCGCTCATGGAAGGATTGAGACATACATCCAAATACTAAATGATCAGTTTGCTTTTGCCAAAACTTGTTTTTTAACTGCCATTATAGTGGTTTTTACTCCCTGTTGTTGTTGAAGAGAAGATACAGTGAGCAGTAAACTAGACTGAAGTGTCTGTGCACTTAGAATGAAGGAGTATGTACATTATGGAGGAGGAAGTGTGCTAATAATTCAGTGAGTGTAGGTGTTGCATAACATATGAACTGCTTTAAATGTTGTTTCTTCACCCCTTCATCCCGTGGTTGCTGCTTTGTTGTTTTCTTTGTTATAAAATCTGTAAAAAGGACGCCTTATCTGTTCCTTATGCCATGCTAAACAATATGTTTGTTTTGCATTTGTATTTTTAGTTAGATTCTTGCCATTATCTGTGAAGAAAAAGACCATGTCTCTCCATCAACCAAAAAAAATGCATTTTCCCCCCAACTTTAAATTACAGCAGAACCTTTGAATCTGTTTTAAGTATCTAGAGCAAAAGCTTCATCACTAAAAGACGGGTTTATGTCATGAAGTCAAAGAGAAGCTAAGCTACTTTTTCATAGAACGTGTATTAGGATCAAGCGAAATTTGAAACTACTTAAAATTAAGCAGCTTACATTTTTTTGTCAAGCAGGGTCTAATCGGGGTAATTCAAGCCATATGCTGTATTCACTCACAAGCTTAACATGTCAGCCATGACCAACTTAACAGAAAGTTAGCGTTGGCCTTCTTCTGTACTCTGCTGGTGTAAATTCCATGTACCTGTTGGTCTAAACATATTCAGAATGAAACCCTTAAAGCCTGATCAGAACCTCCTCTTCAATGCTGCACGTCTTTTCCTTGTGGCTCCTAATCTCTTTTTGCTGTGGTTTTGGTCCAGCACCATAAATGTGCGTGTTTGTTGCTGAAAGTTCTTGTGTTCTTGTGTCTCTTAGTTTCTGCAGAGAATCTGGAAAAGAGCCTGAGGCAGATGGAGAAGCAGCTGCAGCAACTAGAGAGAGACCTGGAGACTTTTTCTTCCACCGATGACCCGAACGACATGTTCCTCACTAAAATGGCTATATCCTTTCACATTTATGCTCATGCTTTACTGCTTGAAGGCGGTATACAGTCCGTTGTATGTTAAAAATAGATAAATAAATGGGGTCAGAAGATTATTGTTGAGATGCAAAAAGTAACCCTAACCGTAGTTTCTACCATAGTCTCATTTTAATGTATAAAACAGTTTGTGTTGTTTTTACTGGGTGGGAAAAAAGAGGCAGATAAGAATGTGCTGCTTTCTCAGCCGTGTCTCACACTTGGTTTCCATTACATTATCAATGATGCTGTGCACAAGTAACGAGTATATCCTATTCCACAGTCGACTCACTATTCCAGCTTCTTTCTTTTTTTCCAAGCATTATTAAGTGAGTGAACACAGCCTCAAACTGAGAGCAAGGGGAAGGCGATGGGGATTTGGTGTACCTCTCTCTTTAACTCCGGCAGTGACAGTAGACAGTGTTTATCCCTGAGGAGCAACAATTTATTATGCTATTGAATCTTCATTTAATTATACAAAAGCACCAAGGCATAAACAGAGTCAACACGTTTCCGCTGCCCATCCGGGGATATCTCAGTCCACCGCTGACAGCTGGCGTGCATTTGACAGGAAGCTAAATTATTCATTATCTTCTGAGAAAGTTCTACAGGATCAGGCTGACAGGTAAGACTCAGGCCAGGTGTGTTCAATAATACACTCTGTTCCCTGCCAGCTTCATGTAGTTTTGATCAACAGCCTTGGGGCTGAGCCACTGATGTCTTCTGCTGAGGTAGTTAGCAGAGAACTTGAGAGCAGCTCGGACAAAATGAATTTGAAGCACCTCTCTGTCTCTTTGGTACTTGGTCCTTGTGCCGAGGGTATAAAAAATTACTTTAATTTAACAGTTTTACATTTATAAATTCCAAAAATAAATGAACTAAATAAGATTAGGAATGAATTATATTAGGGGAATAACTTTAGAAGGCAGTTATTACAGTGACACCTGCCTGTTCTGTGCCCGCACCTTAGCCTTGGTCAACTGATCATCTTTTTATCCTTAAAAATTTGGAGGTACTATATATTGCCTCTCCAACTTCATAATTCAGACTTTTTCACATTCTACTAAATTGTAACTATGTATTGTTCGAGGTTTTATGTAGTAAACACATTCTGAGAAATTGAAGGCAATCTGATGTTTAATTTTTATTTTTCCAAGTCGACTATTTGACAGTAAATGTTGAAGTCGAGTTGATGCGTTGTTCTGTGATGACAGGTAGGTGTGATCTAGGGCTGCAACTAACGATTATTTTGCAAATCGGTTAATCTGTTGATAATTTTTTTTGATTAATTGATGAATAATTGGATAGCCAAAGATTCTTTAAACAAGACTCTACAGAATGAAACCCAGTGAAACTAATAATTACTGCTCTAAGTGGGTTGCTCTGTCAGGTAAATCCATGATTTACAGCCTCTATACTCCATTTACTGATTAATCTATTGCTAAAGTAGTTGACAATTATTTTAATAATCAATTAAATGCGATTAATCCGGTTAAATGTTTTAGCCCTAGTCTAATCCAGCTTTTATTGCTAACTGCAGTGTGTGCTCTACCAAGCCCATAGAATAAGCTAATAAGCGACCAGTTTTGAACGGCGCCAAAACAGACCTGCTGGGGGGCGTTTGAGTTGGCAGATGACCTACAATGTTTATTTTTATTTATAAAACTGCAAAAGGGTAATCAGAGCAGTATATTGTGCCTTTAATTCCATCTCTGTTTACTTCAAAAGCCTTAAATACATCATACCAGAGGTTAGAACAGGGGTAGACGACAGTCAGGGGACGTCTGACTATCTTTTGAAAGGGTAATGAAAAAAAAAGTACGTTTAGGGAAAAAAAAGCTATAATAAATTCTTGACCGGTTTCCTATAAGCCAAGTAGGCACCGCAAAAAGTGAGACCAAAACTGAAATGTTTCCATACAGAGTAGAATGGGTAGAAAAGAACCTACACTGATCATCATCTTAAAGACCTTTGTAGTGCAGAAATATTCTAGGAATGGGTTTGTTTTACTGGGGACATGATAGAGAAAATGGCGGGGAAATGCTGTGAAAGCCTCTACAGGACTTGTGTGAGCTCTAGGTTAAGCTTCCAGTAGAGCGATAACCCTATACGCACAGTTGGACTTACAGTGGAACCACTTTTTAAATCCTGCTGTTCACAGATACTCTTTATTCTAATAGATAGCCCAAAAAGTGGCTTTACAAAGTATAGTCTTTAAAGAAGCTTATGATGTTGCATCACATGTAAAACCAAACCCTTGTTAAAGTTCTGGTTTTATAATGTGTTATAATGTTCAGCTCTTTTGTTACTTAAGCCGGCCACTTTAATAGTGCTACCTATCAGCGTTAGTTATTTTATTGCTCTTTATAGTCTTAAAAATGACCCTCTACCTTTTTAGCGCATTAACTTCATTTAATGTATACTGCATCTTGTATCATGTTTAATGCAATCACTGCAATTCTTACTCATTATTCATCCTGCAGAGCCTTTGCTTAAAGCTGAGGGAGTCTTTTGAAAAACTATCACTTGATACTTGACATGGGGCAGAAATGTTCTGCTTTATAAGCAGTGGTCTGCCTTTGACGGGCCAAACACGAGGAGCTGTTGGATATCACGCAGGTGAAAATTTCCTTTTTCCCTTCTGACCCTTCTTAAGTACACGGTTTGCTGAGTTATTGAGCTGGTTTTACACATCTGGCTTGTAAAGGTGGCAGATCAGATCCTGAAAAAAGCAGTACTAGGAGGGAGAAATGGAGACTTAAGAATGATGGAGCGGGCTGGATGGCGGGGGGTGTAAGTGTTAAACCTCGAGGGAAAGAAAGGCCTTGAGATTGAGCTGCGGTGAGCTGCAGGTTTCCCAGGAGCAGGAAAGCAGCCTGGAGATGGAGGAACAAAAAAGTGGGCAGATATTACCCTCCACAACACTTATCTACCTTAACTCTTGGCTTTTTTTCTTTTCTGCTTTTACCCCTACTCTCACCTTCCTAATGCCTTCCTTTCCTCACACTCTGGTTTGGAAACATATTACTGACAAGTCGGTCTGGGCGGAGAGCCTATCGAACAGCATTTATCCAGCTGTGAATAGGTAGTCTCATCGTCGGCCAGAATCAGCCGAGGCCAAATCTTCAATAGGTCCATCAATTGAGCTATAATGAAGGTTCACAATCAGAGCCAGAATGCTGCCCACACACTCAGTGCTACTTCTTATCTGCCATTAGGTGACAGTGTTTGCCATTAGCCAGGCCGCTGATTACTTCTTCAAGATGTTTTAGAGAAATGGGATCTGAAATTTAAAAAAATATATATATTTAACGGACTTTTCTTTTATTTTTTTTTTCGACACGCCAGAAGCTTTGAGTTTCAGCAGAGAGTGGCGAGCATGTGAAAAGAAGAGTAAGGAATATGCATTTGGAGATAATTTTGGAGGTGAGCTTGGAGACAGACTTCTCCTCCTGCCCTGATGGCTGGCACGGAGCGTTTCAGCACTTCCGCTCCCACACTGACACCTCTACGGCACACGGTGACAGACCTATTACAATATTTGTCTCTTTCTCCTCACAAAAACGCCAACGAATGAGAAGCTAAGCTTGACTCAGCTGGGTGAGTTTCCTGAAGGAGATTTAAACCAATGCAGTGTGCTCCAGGTAGTTTTCTTTACTAAAGGGGGATTTTGACTGTTTTGAAACAATTTTGAGACGCAATAACATGTTATTGCTTAAAGGTTTTACATAGACATAGTCGGCATGTGTTGACTTTTTCCTCTTAGTCTTCGAAAATGAAAACCCCAAAGACAAAGTGGGAATTGCATAAAAATACATATATAATACATCAATGATACATTCCTCAATGCAGAGCATTTCAGTATCCTGTTCTGTATATTTGAGTGTTTCTTTATTTTTTTAGCGTGAGTTTATGTTGGCGGCTATTGGTGTTAGATATGTTATGACACTTGGCCAGGAGCTTATCATTGATGGTGTAGGCTGCTAGGGTGCGAACACACTGTGAAAGCATCCTGACAGACTGTGTCAGAGCTACGAATGGAAACATCACAGTTTGTATCTAAATGATTTCCTTACTTTCGTCTTAAAAAAAAAAAAAGCAGGATTAAACACTAGCATTTGCTGTCCGCTTACAGGATCCTCTAATCAGCATTTGCTGAATACATTAATATCAGATGGATGTCATGTTGACCTTGACCCACCGCCTTACAGCTTCAGCAAAGTGGCACAGGAACAGTACGGAAAGCTTGTGATCATGCACAGCAATATGGAGACCATGTACCAAAACCTACTGGAGTACTTTGCCGTGGATCCCAAGAAGACGTCTGTGGAAGAGCTTTTCACCGACCTCAGCAACTTCCGCTCCATGTTCGCTGTGAGTATACAAGTCATTTTTAGACACTCTTTGGGTTTGGAGTTGTTTTATTATTATTTATTTATGCATGATCTTTAAGAACACGGTTATAACAGCGGTTCACTTACTTTTGATTGTGATTTTCCTCTCTACTATTATTTCTGCATTTCACTTATTTGTCTTATGCGCCAAAAAGTATCATACACCACATTTTCAGCAGCAACAGATGTTTGATTTTGAAATAAATGGACATTTTATTTACTTTTGTCAGGACACAAACGGCAAATCCTTTTTGATCTTATCACATTATACTCCTGTTATATAATAAACAGCAGAACAACATGAGCCCTGCTTTTTTAATGCATTTATGTTATTGCTCAGCTCTTTAAAGTTATTAGCCAGAACCGCTTCGAGCCCTGGTTTGTGCTGACCCACTATGTTAAATTAGAGGGATTAGTGGTATAGGTCACTGGACATGACATAAATTAGTAGCTAATTAAGAGACTAAAGTTCTTGCCCTGCCCAAATCTTAACATTTCTCCTAAAGACACTAATGGATTTCATGCCCTTTTTACACCATAGATAGACTAATTTTATCCCTTTTAGTTATGGCTTTTTATCCAAATTTGAGATAATTCATGTATTCTTCTGGGCCAGCATATAAGCTCTATTACTCCATCTTTAAGGTTTTTCACAATAAATTATGTTTTACTTTTGAATATAGAGCATGAAATGCAAAATGTTACTATTTTGTTACAGCATTGTAAAATACAGTTAGTATGACGGAGTATCAGGACCAGGCTAGAGGTTTTTTTTTCTATTTCATGAATAAAGTCGTAACATTACGAGAATAAAGTCATAAAATCACGAGAATAAAGTTATAACACTATGAGAATAAAGTCACAACGAGAATAGTCATAAAATTAAGAGAATAAAGTCATAACATTATGAGAATAAAGTTGTATTTTATGACAACTCTTTCAAAAAACACTGTTTTCCCCAAAATGAGGAATGTCGAGCATTATGTGAAGTTATACTTTGGCTCTGGTTTCACAAATAAGGAAATCTTTTAGCACACCAGCATCAATCAGAATCAGAAATTCTGGGCAGCATGTCAAGTTGCTGTTTGGTGGAGCTGGTCGGCCTTCATATGCTGGTTGGAGCTTGAAGATTGCTTTCTGAGACGGGTTGTGGTATGATGACTTAATTCACGTAATATTATGACATCTTGTAATTTTAGGACTTTATTCTCAAAATAAAAGAAAAATATCTCTAGCCTGGCCTTAATACTCTGTTGTAAGTTTGTTCAAGAAATACATTACAGAAAATATTGAAAAAATACTTAATGCTTAAGGTTTTCTTCATTTTAGCCGCTCATGTAACTGTATTTTGTAGCATGTTCATTAACTAATGAGATCGATCAGTTTACAAATGGAGGATAAGAGGTGTTTGGCTTGAAAACTAGGACCGAAAGTTACCAAACTATTATGGTTACATGTTTATTAAAGTTAAACCTTGAGGATGCATCTTCATTGAGGAGACCAATGTACTTTCAAATTCATGATTTAAAGTTTTTGTTTTATTGTGTGATTTCTCCTGTACAAATCAACAAAAAACTAACAAAGTTGTTAGAAATAAAAAAGGTCAAATAAATTACTTTCATATGTCCACGCATCCTTATACTAATACTATATCAGTTCATATAAGTTATCAGCATTCAATCTTCTTTCGGTTTGGACTTTCCAATATTTCCTCACTCTAGTTCACCGTCATTCTCTAAATCAATAATATTATAAGAAACTATCTTGTTCAAATCTATCTTTGGTGATTAGTTTTTCTGTCACATGTAGTATTAAATGTTAAACATGTTCCAAAATAAATGTGTTTTTCTTCTAATGCATTCCTTCATTTGTTGATTTGGACTGATGTGAACTGTTGCTGCAAATTCAAAGCCTTTTCCATGTCTAGCTTATGAGTTGACAATTGCAGGTTTAAGGTCAAACTTCAATTATTTTTCTCAAGCTAAACAAAGAAAAAGGAACTCAAAAGTGGCAACCTTGGATGCTGCTCTCCTGGTGATGGTCTGTGTTATCTTTCTGCCCTTTGAATTGACCTCTGTATCTTTGATTTGGTTTGATCCAACTGTAACACTGAACCACCAACAAAGCTTAGAAAGATTTTGATGTTTAAGATTATAATCTCTTACAGCCATGCTACTTAATCCCAGCATTTGGAAAGTAAAGATGTTTCTCACATGCAGATAACATGTATTAGTTGTTGAAAACTCTTGTAGCCCATTTAGTTTTTAGTATCGGGAATCTGGTTTCTATTGTCTTTTCAGTCGAGGGTAATGTAGAAAAGGAAAGACTTCTTAAATTTCAGTAAAAAAAGAAGGGATAAAAAGAAAAAATAATTTATCCCTTAAATAAAATTGATAGGAGGCATTAACTCAAGAAGACGGAAATTTGAAACTGGATAAGAATATATCTTGCTGCATGAAATTATTAATTTAAAGGTGTGCAGACTTTTACAATCAGGTTTGTCTGACCAACAACAACAACAAAAAAAGCTTTTCCAATAGTTTTTTTATTTTATTTCAATCGTTAGTGTTTTTTTTCCAACATAAAAGGGAAAATAAGGTTTAAATATTGTCCATTCTTTAGTATCATTGAATATTAAAATATCTTAAAAGGAGTGAGATTCTAGTTCTTTTAGCAAACAGCTTGGTGATGATAGTGTGTCCGATTGGTGTTTGATAATATTACAGCTAAACAAGTTGGTGCAGTTGACATAATTGACATATATTAACAAAAAACCCTGCACTTTTAAATATGAACATGCGAGTCAGCATTTGAATTAGCATTGGTTTATCAAACTAACAAGAATGGCTAAGTGTTGAAAAGAAACATTTTTGTCAGTTACAGTATCTACCTAAAGAAAGTAAAACCAACTTTATGAAAGTGTTTTAGGACTGTATCCTGGCTTTACAGCATGTCCTACGCTGTGTAGCCTTTTTGCTCTGCCCAAACACAACGGTTAATGACTCCGCTTGTGAAAGGTGAACAAGCCAAGTTTTATATAGACCTGCATTATAAGATCAACACTCCCAAGGTAGCTATTTATTTCTCTGTGACAGGTCAAGGCACATGCAGCTTACTCCCTCAGCATTTCGTTGAAATTGTCACATCACACCGACATGTCTTGGGAAATGCCGAGGCCAGGTCAGCGAACACTGGCCCGCAGTAAATCTCGCCATCATAACCTCTCGGTCAAACCTGTGTCAGCACATACCCCGTAGAGCCAAGGCCCATGCTAATGGCTTTGTGCTGCCTAATGCCCTCTCCCTAAAGCAAACTGACTTCAGTTTGTGCATTAAATTTCTTTGCAGTCTAGACATAAACAGTGTGTTTTAGATGTTGTTCCATTTTGGCAGTTTTTACAGGAGGAGCTGCTAAGTTTGGTTTTATTTGCACGCAAAGACATACACATGCTTGTGCACGCATGCAGCAAGTTCAGTCACCCGTAGGAAGGAGGCCCAGGGCGAGGCCGTCTTTCTGACAGAAATCCAATTGAGCGTATCTAATAGTGGACATCCAGGAGAGGAAGATGGTGAAGCAGACCTGCAGTGGTAAAAGAAAGTAGAGGGCAGTTCCTTTAGTTTGCTGGTTCCCCTTTTCTTTTCCTCCATCATTAAAAGTTCAACATATGAATATTTTCTGAACATATAATATGAATTAGATTAATCTTCTATGTTAGTATTTCATGTTTAAATTAGAACGGTTGAAAGGAAGAATGTTCACGTTTTCATTTGTAGAAAAGTCATAAATGAAGTTGTCATTATTTATTGAAGGAAATGACAAAAGGCCCCAGTAGATATTCTATTCTAGATCAAGATATAGGCAAAGGCAATTCAGGTAAACAGATGCGACAAGGACACGAGGATCTGTCCATCTAAAATGACCTCTGACCAGTTCAGAATGAAACTGAAATGAAGAAGCAGTCTCACTCTAATAATAAGGCACACACAGGGTCCTGCTTTGATATAAAATTGTGTTTAGTGTTCTAACTCGAATCCTTCTACCCACTGGTTTCCAAGTTAAACAGAATCTGAGTTGGTGTAGACAAAGCAGTTAATCAGGCGTCTTAAATCTAATTTAGTGAAAGTCTTTGTGCTGAGAGACTACTATCTGTGTTGTTCAATTCTAAATCTCATATGAAGACAGCTGTACTACTACTTTGTTCTGAGGGAAGGTCTGCCACATGGCTATATTTAGTCTGAACATCTGATGCTCCTGCTCTGCTTTATGCTGCCTGGCGTCTCCAGCTCTGCTGTTCAGACCTCCACCTCATTGACATTGAGAACAACAATGATGCAACTCAACTGCCATGTATTTGTCATCCCCACATTTCCATATTGTCCTCTGCTGATGACCAAATAATCTAAAGACATTTATGCTGGTGAAGATTCAGTCATCCAGGTCATAATCATTCCAAAAAAGTTTAAGACAAACCACTGGACTTTGTTTCCAAAAAACAATCCGTCTTCAAACTTGGAAATAAAGTCTAGGGATTGTTTTATTTCCACTTTTTTGGAATAACTAAAGACATTTACCAACATACTTATGCACTTGCCTGGATATAAGGAACATAATTTTTTAGGAATAATTTGGTTTGTTTCAGATTTAAAAACTTCAGAACTCCTGAAAGGGTTGCTACGCCTCAATAGTGAAATTTCTGGTAGCAAAACCATCCCTAGAGAAATTTCAGAGAAAAACAAAAAATATATATTTTTCCTCAGAGCTGTTGGACGTAAATTACCATTGGCAGATGATTTTAGAGATTTATAGTGTTTCCAATTACCTTAATCAGTTTATGTGCTTGGCTGTTGCATGAAATAAACTTTAAAGTTCATCATCATGGGAACAGTTCACTATAAAAGTCAGGATGCATGAAAGGAAAGCAAATGGAGGAGACATTGTTTTCTAAAAAGGATTCAATTTCAACAGCTAAAGTCTTCATTTTTAGCCATTTTCAAGATGCTTTTCTTCTCAGCAGTTTACAAAATGAAGATGAACATGCAACCTTTAGTGTATTATGAAACCCTGCTCTAATTATTGGGTGCTATCCATCTAGTTAAAGGACAGAGACAAGTTGAAGGATTAAGATAGAGGTTGCAACAATGAACCATTTATCTTGTTGAATAAGTGACTGTATAAAATGTTTGGACAGGTTTGGACAGATGAAGTTCTCCATTTGTTTTAGGTTATAACCCTTTTTGAATGCAAGTATTAGTAAACTTTTAAGCATTGCCAAGACGGGGAAATAATGCTTAGGTGTGTGTAATTGTTACTAATAACGCGTTCAGTTTTAAATTACCCTTCAGTCCTGTTTAGTGTTGGGCCCCTGCTTTGCCGCACCTAACTGGATACTTATTTATCGCATATTTCTCTTGTGAGGAAATCGTTGCCATGAGCAACCAATAGACATTCCATCATTTCTGAGATAAATTTGTGACACAGAGGCTTTCATTTAAAAATAGTTAAAAAGAGAGCCCTGAATAGCTTCAATCACAGTAATTTGGTATTCATCATCCTCCTACTTTTCAGCTGTATTCTCTTCTTGCAGATGGGAGCCTTCATTGTTAGCGTTTTCAAAGCCTTTCTACAAGCTGTACTGAGAACAAAAATTATGGTTATTATTATTTTTTGTTGATGTGTAAACACAATAAGTGAAAATCCAGATTCTTTATCAACTTAATGATGATAACTTGTTGGAAACACAAGCTTTAAACATGCAAGTTTCTCCAATTCTTCCTCGAAACCGTTTAAAGTGCCCTGTTTAGATGGAAGCATGATAAAGCCGAGTTAAACCGAGTTTGTGCTGCTGCAGCCTTACGCTGTTTACTGAAGCTAATCCTTTATGCAGCCTGAAGATGGTGCAGATGAAATCAATGTCTTAGTTACAAAAGTAATTCAACTCAAATATACTTTTTTTAATTCCATCAGAAAACTTAGAAACTGTTGCTCAAATGTAGACGGGTCTGCTTTTAGATAGATGTCGTCTTCCATCTGTGGTGCCGTTATGCTTCAGATTATTCTTAGACAAGACACTGAGCTCCCCAGTTTCTGTGATATGCTTATTAGTGTGTGACAGTGTTCCTCAGCTGCAAGTTGCTTTAAATAAGATTGGATAATAAATGTAATTAGCAGTAATGTTTGTGATGCTGATAACCATCCTCATTACTGTAAGGGAAGTTAAAGTGTGTGTAGCATGCTGATATTAAGACTCATTCCCACATGACCTGTGGTTTAACAGAAGCTTGTATTTCATTATACCTTATTTGAATTGTTGTGCTTAACAATATGAACGTTTTAGGAACCCTGACTGGTTTGTGTTCTCATGAATCTTCAAGTTTGAAGTTGCATAATTAATATTGATTTTTTTTTTAATGCAAAGTTATAAACAAATCACCAAGTTTTATAGAGTTCTTTATGTACCTCACCCCCAGCTTTCTGCCAAGGCATGTTCAATTCTCTATGGTGTCTTTTTCTTTTCTGTGCTCTCATTGACAAATGGCAGTCAACACCTATTCCATATTTAACTTTAGCTTAATAGGTATTTAATATTGTGAATTATGCTGCAGCGGATTTACTGACATGCATCCCCCCTCAGCTTTAGAAAACATAGTTTTAAAGCACAGATTAACAGAGGTGAAGTGATTTATACTTTTTTGTGATATACAGCCTTCAGGTTGCTGTTGCTCTGCATTTCAAGTGGCTTTGTGACTTTAAACTGACCACACGGAGCTATTTCTGAAATGCGGTTGACTGTATCATCTTTAGCAATAGTCTCTTTGATGCAGTCATAATAAGAGGGTGTCAGCTGGATCTCATAAACAACTGCCCCTCTTTAACGTTTCACTGGAGATCTCTGTATGCTGCATTGTGTTTGTGTTTTTTCTGGACATCATTTTACGTCATCTTGACATCATTATCATCCTTCCTTTGACCTGCCAGTCAAGCCGGGCTGTGCGAATATAGCGCGGGGGGGTGATGCAGAGTCGGGTGTTAGATGAAGACCCAGACCTCCTCACTTTCAGTGACAGGCTATTGATCAGGATGGCAGTCTTACTACCACTCTATTAAAGGATATGCAGTCTATCTCTAGCTAGGGCATTGCTGAGCTATTGACTCTGTAGAAGTTAAACAATAGAGATTACAGAGCCAGTTCCCCTTTGGATGATGCATGGAGGATATATACTGTATTATTCCGCTTGGAAAGATTGGATGTGAAATTGCTTTTATAACATCTTAAATTGTTTGCAACATTAGTTTGAGTTAATGCAAAATGAAATGACATTGCAAAGGCCCCCAGCTACCTGCACCTGAATAAATCATTGCTGCACACGTTTTTCAATTTTATTTATTTTGGAGGTAGGCTGGTGGAGATTTCCCAGGACAAAGGTAACTCCTAAAAAAGTTCAACAAAAAAATTTAAATTTAGTTTTGGTAATTGAACACAGTTTGTCTTTCAACTAAAGATAAGTCAAATGTATTTTAATACACATTCTTTTCTATAGAAAGACTATTTAAAGTGCTGTATATGGGGGGGGGGGGGAGGAAAAAGTACATTGTAGTGGAATATAATGGAATCATTACTGAACAAAACAATTAAATGCAATAAAAATGAATATTTCAAATATGATCATATAAAAAGTATGTAAAAACATATAAAAACAACACACTAATCTTCTCTTTTAGTGACATTTTTAAATCTTTGTTCATTGGAAATCAACAGTTTCATATATTTTATTCACCTTTCTTTAATCATGAACTCAATAGGTTCCTGTTTAATTATATTATTAACTTTATAAATGTATTGGAAAACATTTTTTGGTGTAGACAGGCTCAATTTAATACACCTGACGAATAAAGCTGAACTACATCACTCAACTTCGAGTACTCTACTCCACTCTGAGTAATGCATCTCCACTTTTCTATATTTTAAGTAGTTAAAATATAAAAATGTGCTATTTAATTAAATTCATATTATGCGTAATATTATGCAAAGATAAGTTTGATACAAGATTACTCATATTTTTAAGAAAAAGACCTTTTGTTAATGTTTTTATTTAATGTTTTAAATTAATTGTAAGTCAATCGATAAGATCAGTCAACATTATGGTAATTAATGAATCAATAACTTGCTTCCCTATTTTGAAACGCTTGGTTTAAGAATTATGACTTGAGTTCTTTTTTGATTCAAATGTAGAAAATTTTGACTCACCTAGTGACTGCATCAACTAAAACTAATTCATTGTCTTGACTATATATATAAAAAATACATAAGTGTGTGTATATGTCTCATGCTTCAGCCATAAACTAAATAATCTTTGATGCTGGCCTCACACTAGATGCAGTTGGGCTGCAACAAGGAACCCAAATCATTAAAATCAGTGTTGTGCAATATAGAAGCTCTGTGGATCAACAAAATAATTCTCTCCAAGAAGGAAGTTCTCCTTGCAGAATCACTGTTTCTCTGCATTAAGCCTCTGAATTTTACAAGCCGAACAGGAATAGTCAGACACCAGACAGACTAAAGTGCCAGTGAATTCCAGAGTAAAATCAACCCAAAAGCAAAAAGGCAAAACAGAAACACAAGGAAAGAAAGGGGTATTTTATGCATACATATTATGAGTAATGTCCAGCAATACCCAGAAACTTAAACTCTGTACACTTATTTTCTCTAGAGCACCTTTTCCACTGCTGGAGTCACAGCTGGGTCAGCCAGGTCGCAGCATTGTGACATCAGGGACTTTTTGGAGCACGTTAGCTGCACGGCGGCTACGCTGTATTCAGTGTGTGAGCCTGGCTTAATATGTGTTTAACGTGCTCAGCTGTTTAACTGCAGACCAACCTGTATAACAATGTTAGCCTCGCCGAGCAACGTCCAGGGGCTGACCTTGAATAATAATTTCCAACTGACGTGACTGAATATAAACTGGAAAAATCCTATTTGCTTCAAGACAGTTCTACACATGTATGTCATAAAGTTATATACATCATATTTCTTTAAATTTGTTTTTTGGTTGAATTTCTACACTGTTTTTGGTGCACGGGTGTTGGGGTTTTTATTATTACCATAATGATTTTGGTTTTATGTAATCCCTAGAATAACCCTGAAGGGGGAAAAAAATTGATGCACTCACAATTTAAACAGAAAAAAACACTTACCTTTGCTTAACAGGTGCAGTTACACTGCTGTTAGCTTTATCTCACTTTGTCAGCCTTAAACAGTATCAAGTTCCCACATTAGCAACCAGGTGATGATGAACTTAGAACCTCTACACTTAGGAAGATGTTTTTTATTCCTATTTTATCATTATTCAAAGTCAGGACAATGGAGGTGTTTATCCAGAAAATAATGGTTGATAAAAATAGAGGAAAATGGTAAAATATAGCTCCAGGATTCCTTGCATAATAAAAAACACAGGATCAGATGTTTTCTCTTCAAAAGGAGCCAGAGGCAAGATTCAGGTTTGTCATCCCAGCCGTCCTCTGGCTCTAGTGTCTGGAGTCTCTGTTGTGAAGCCATTTTATGTCTGGCAAGGCCATAGTGACAGGGCACCTTAGAAGCGTCATCTGACTCTAATAGCACCCGATAAAGACGCCTGTGCGGTTTGACAGCTGCCTCTGCCTTTGACAGGGCCTACACTACTGTAATTAACCCAACTTAGCAGTCTGTCGTGTTTTCTCCTTCTCCCATCTTTTCATCACTCTTCTTCTCTTGCAGCAAGCACTGAAGGAGAACCATAGGCAGAGGGAGTTGGAGGAGAAGCAGAGGAGAGCACGGGCCGCAAAGGAGAAGGCTGAGCGTGAAAAGCAGGAGAGACAGCAGAAGAAGAGGAGGTTACTGGAAGTCAGTGCAGGTAAAGAGTGTTCAATTTACTTTCCCTGTCATCCCCTCGCAACGATAAGGCCTTTACAGAGAGCTGCGTGTCAAATCAATCTAGTTACAAATGGTGTTGGAGATCATTCAAATACAATGACTCTCATTCATCAAACAAACAAACACGTCTCATTTTAATGGATTACAGGAGACATCTGTTTTCTCCCAATGCGCTGTTTATCTTCCCCAAAACAAGAACCCACATCTGTAGAAAATAAATGTTGGTGGGTGATTTGATTGATTATGCATTATTGTGAGCAGACGTCTTTGCTAGTTGTCATTAAGGCCACCCCAAAACACTTCCACACTTCCACAGGAGCTACAGTCCACACTAACCCATTAACACTTATACTGTGAAGGTCAAACTACTGACCTTCTAGTTGCTGTGAATTCTACTCCATCTTTTGAGCTCAGAATGATCCATGAGGCCATATTACACATTAAAACAGAGAGATTTTAATCATTAATCACTTTGCCCTCATCTTTTAAATAACAAAGTTTTCATGGTGTAATCTATCAAAGTTATTTCCAGGGCATTAGGAGTACAAGTGTTATATCCTAGGTATGCATAATATTCATTGCATTGTCATGATCCAAAGATCCTGTAGTGTGGCTTTGGGGTTATAGCTATGGCTGTGATTAAATAGCAAAATGAGTAGTTTAAAGCATTTCGTAGAAAGATATGACACAATAATGACCCGAAACACAATTTAGAAGATTTGTGTTGCTGCACTTTGGTGTTGGATACTTTACAGTTAAATTTCTTCTTTTTTCCTTTTCTGTGTCACCAAATGATGCCTGAATTTTTAAATCTAATTTCAATATATAAAAAAAGACAGCCTAAGTAATTACAGAAGCAGATTCATTTCTTGAATTAATGTAGACGCCAAAAAATATATATAATACGCCTCCTTAGATGCATTAAATATATAGATATATATTTTTTGGCCCAATTTGACTTGCTGACAACATGGAATGGGTAGAAATATCTGAAATTAACACATTAAAGTTTGTTTAAAAAAAGAAAATAAAGCAACTTATGAACATTTAAGAGACAAAATCATTGGCATTCATGCCTCTGAAAAGGGTTAAAAGTAGGGATGCCAGTTATTTCCTAATTCATCAAAAAAAAAGAAAAAAAACATCTAAGGTTAATGATCTTATCGATCATCTAACAATTCAATTATAAGTTAAATAAAATAATGATTTCTTTTGTATCAAGAGTATCTTTCTATAAACAGAATAGATTAAATATTTTTTCCAATAATCTAAATTTTAAAAAAGTCGCACATTACGATATGTTGTAACTATTTACTGTTTCAGAAGTATTAAGTACTTACTAACCAAATATTGGTATATATGACTGGATAGATTCATGTTTCTGCTGTAGAATGAAGCCGCTCTGGAATTTCATCTCTTGCAAATGGCAATAAACCTAAAAAAATAAAATAAAATAAAAGATTAAGAATGAACAGCGTCACCCTCTAACGGCCGAACACTGAAAAATAAACAAAAATTCTAAGCTACTGTTATCAATTAATGGGACGGAACAAATTTAAATCTAATCAACCATTTATTGACAACTAATTGTTAGGAAGTTATTTGATTACTTTCTTGGTTACAAGTTAATTTTAGAGATGGGACTTCAGTAAACTAAAGCCGATACATACTGCTGATAATATGGTCTGTTTAAAAAAAATATCTATAAAACGTAGAAATGCTGTTATGGTAAAAAACAAAAAAAAAATGTTTGGGCTGATGCTGTGTATAAATAATTGTTTTGTCTTGTTTTATCATCTAAAGATTTTAACACAGTAGTGGTACAAACACACATACACAAAATATTGAGGGTTTTTCCTGCATTTATGCAACGTATGATGCAAGGAAGGACTGCTTTGGTTTCCATAAACAGTGTACCCTGCAGAATAATGACTCTACTTAACATAGCACCTTGCTCTGAGGAAGATTGTCTGCTGCTTATGCCAAAGAATATGAATCTACCTGCTGGTTGTTTTTCGCCCTGTTTTGATTTGGAGTAACTCTGATGCCAGAAGCTAGTTCGATGCCAAGGCTGGCAGAACAGTTGAATGAGGTAGAGGCCTTTACAAGTATTTAAAGTTTAAATTTCTGTGCCACTTTATCACTTCTCTGGAACTTAGCACCATAAATAGATCCAGTGTGCTCCTTGCAGTCCAAAGTGCTGTTGAGTTGACTCTCCAGCCAAAGCATCTTGGCTTAAAAAAAAAAAGATTAAAAAATTTTAAAAAGCTACATCTGCATTGTTTGAGTTTGCTATAATATGGATCCTCTGCAGCTACCACACTGATATATTGACTGAATTTTCTCCTTGCATAACTTTTACATTCCTGGCAGTTAGAAATGAAATTGGCTGTACTGTGAAAGTTAAGTCCTGCAACATGTGTTATGTAAATATAATGACAGGGTTAGAGTCAGAATTAAAGAGTTACAACCCCTAAAATAGTGAGATCTGATAGTGAGAATTATTTCAATTAAGTCATTTCTTAAATTTGAAAAGTATTCTCTATAAAGTAATTCATTACAATTTCTCTTTTAGTTCAGATAAATTAAAATTTAAGCTTGACAGATTATATTATTATATTAAAAGTTCATTCATTAGTTGTTTTTTTTTGGTTATTGTTTGTTTTCAAAAAGCTTGTTATTTCTTATCTCTATCTCAATTTGTCCATTGTATGGATTATACTATCGCTATGGAAACTGCTTAGTTGATTTTTGGTTTTTATATTTTTGGTATTTATTATTATGCAAATATATATATACTTCTAGATATACATAGAAGCAGTATCTGAAATTTACTTTCTGACTCACCGCCCACGTGGCTTGGATAATAATATTATTTACTGGCCAGAAAGAAAGAATAAATAAATAACTGGCTCGCATATGTTTTTCAGAAACATATTATGTCACTAAGGCATTATGTAAAATGCAAAGTTAAAGGTATAGTGGAGGATGTTCTTTTTGTGGTTGGTTCATCTAAATAAATAGTCCTCCTAATTGTCAATCATTCTGGTGATATGTTTATGTAAGGCCGTCCTACGTGCTCATCCCCAATTTCAGTTACCGGTGGTGAGTCTGACATGTTGGAAAAACTGCACATCGTCTTTTAGAAAGTAAGCTTGTATGAGCGATGCAAACAGCAACTTTTAAACAGAGCGTGCACAAGCACATTTCCCCTCACACACGTTTATTAGGCAATCCCTCTCAGGAGCGGGTACAGGGTTGTGCATCTGGATTTATTATTATTTTTTTTCTTTAGTGAAAAAGGTGGGTCTTTTTAAAATATTCATGAAAACCATCCACTATACCTTTAAAATAAAGAGTAATGTAGCTTTATTAATCAAGGTTGTAATTTAGGGGTTAATTCAATTTCATTCCAAAAAGTGCAAATAAAAGATACTTTTAGTGGATAAAGTGGCCATAAACCAAACCATTCAGAAAACAGGAGACTATTTTCATTTGTTATATTGCCTATAAATAAAAGTATAACCTTTCTTCCAATTGCATGGGCATTACAAAACTATATTTTGCTCTCTCCATGTTTGTGTTGTTATACTGTAGCATCAGTGTACTATCAGTTGCTGTGCCACTGGTTGTTTTAATGGAGCCTGAGACATGGACGTCCAGTGAATGTGGCATTAACTGCCTTTGTGTTCACGGATACTCTCCAGTTTCATAGACTAACAGCCAGCGACAAATTAATCATGTTTGTTCTCTTTTGCGTATTTGCTGCACATAGAGCAGCTCATTAGCTTAGCATCCTCATAAATAAGCCATTCTCTTTCAGAACACAGTCTCCCTGAAAGCACCATTTTTCAATAAACTTTCTTTGCACCCTGGGGGCAATAGATCCTCGCTCCCCATACTCCTCATCACCATGTTGTCTTTTAGAATGCTTTCTTGCTCCAACTATATACTGCGACATTTCGCCTAGCGGCGCAGTTGTTGTTAAATGACGGGGTTTTGGGGTTGTGCTCTCTGTATGGGACAGATGGAAACTAGCCAAAATAAAAGACAGAAGGATGTTACTGAAGCGCTACGACGTGTAAACATTTACTGGCCTTGGGTGAATGGTGCTTTGGGATTAATTCACCAAATGAAATAAATGAGTCACATTTGGCCAGTGTTCATTTCCGACGCTACATAGAAGTATCTGACAAATAATGGTCAGCGCCAAGTTAAAAAAATTAAGAGGCATGCGACATAGCAGCTAGGCTGCTCTCGGGTGGGGCCGCCAGATTGTCACCTTTGGCGTGCACACCCTCAGCCCCTGTTCGATGCAGCGAGTATAAACCTAATATCTATTGTTGCTACCACCAAAGGTTGATGAATTACCCTAAAGGCAGATATCTACATCATTTACTTACTTTTTTTCATTGGCATAAAGTGGACTTTAAAGCCTTACACATTTTTGAGAGATACACAATCTTTAAACCATAGTATACATTCATAGTGGATTGTAAATGTTTTGCATGTTTTATTGTTTCTTTTTATTTTTTAGGAACCTGTTAGTTTTCATGTTTTGTTATGAATATCTCGAATTTTTATAAGATGTGAGAAAACACATGTTTTTGTTTTTCCAGTCAGCTAGAATTGTTAAATAAATCAAAATATTATGATGTATTTATTTAAAAAGAAAAAGGTATTTAAAAAAGATAATATTCTAAAAACTATTTTACCTTTAATGTCCTAAAAAGACCCCCATTATAAGGGGAAACTAAGGGTTTTAAGAAAATGGCAGCTTATCTATGAATCGTCAGTTAATTGATGAGATCAGTCAACTTAAGATGAACTCTTTAATCGATAACTTGCATATGGTAACTACATTTAGATTCTTATAGTCCTTGAATCATGTTCTCAATTTGACTTTTTTTCTTTGCAATTATAAATCTTTAAGTTTGAAATTACTCTTTCTGTTTCTCAAATGTGCATTTCAATGTTAGA